CTAAACACAGAAAATGTAACTAAATTTAGGGGAGATGCAATAAGTAAAAAAATGAACATAATAAAACTGCAGAAATAAAAATCTGTCAACACATTACGATGGAGTTAAATCGACACACTATACCCACCAGTCAATGATTTTTCCTATTTTTTTTCCTGTGAAAAATTTCTCAAGTATTACCGTCAATGTTCATTTGTTCGTCGCTTTCATAAAAGTACTTGAAAAATTTGATCGCCATAACCTCCCTTAACCACTAATCAAAAATGTGCGCTGATCCACTAAATGTTTCCATTTTGTTGACAACTATTACATAGTGAAAAGCAAAGGAAAACGTTGACATAGTGTTATAATAGTATCTTTAATGTCCATTTTTTTTTTCTGCAGAATAGCTCTGTTGAGTAAACAGAAAAAAGAAGAAAATCAATTCTACTGAACTACACTACACACATCTGATTTCAGTTGTTTTCTTCTTTCATTTACAAAAGTAATCACTAATATATAGTCTCTTGCTTTATTCCCATCTTTATTTTAACATCAGCAGCGACAGTTACAAAAATAACCGCTAATACCCTACTATCACTACTATAAGGTTCTGCTGCTGAGCGCACCCCAAAGTCAATTCAACAAAAATTTTGCTACTTAAAAAATTAGAGAAAAACTAAAAGTAGAAAAGTTTAAAAAAAAAAAACAAGAAAAATGTAGAAACGACCAACAACAATTTGTATAATTAAACAGGAAAATTAAAGAAACAAGAATTTGTACTTAATTTTAAATTCAAACTAATTAGCGTATGGCACTTTGGAAGAAAAATAAATATGAAAAAAAATTGTATTTAATTCTTGAAGCATGAAAATTCAAGCTAGAAAGTCTGAGATGGAAATGCATTTTACTACTTTAAGGACGGAAGAAAACAGTCCAAGCTAAGGTCCAGATTGACTGCAGAAATTTATAGGTGGTTCACCCTTTCTGCCAACCAAAAGATATGTATCCATCCCACCATCGATACCCTTAACCTCAATATGGTCACGATATTCAAAATCATATCGACTGCTCAGCAGATCACGTGTTCGTCGAGAAACCTGCAAAATAACTGAATAATTTCTATTAAATAGAAAAATTTTGAATATCACGTAAATTGGTTTTGATAAACTCTGTTCACCATTTTAGCAAACAC